GTATTTCCAATAATACCTCACACTTATAGATATTAATCAACTACCAGGGTTTCTTCCTTTGTCCATCTAAACATTAGTCTGATTTTCCAAATTTTTTCTCACTTGTTCCAGTCTTTTATATCTCACTCAATTGCTCTTGGTGGTATTTATCTTGTGATACTCTCCACCTATGTCAATGCACCTCATTCAGATAATGTTATTACTTTTTGCAGACTCAATCCCAGTCTCTAACACTGGTTTTAGTGGGGAGGAAGGGTAGGAGAGTTAAGTTGAGGTAAGTATTATTGGAAATGCATTTTCAACTTAAGAAAATGTTAACTTCCAAAATATACATATCTCCATTCCCACTTATACCAATAATCCCACAATGATAAGATGGAAGGGCCAGTGAGGGCATTATCCTCACAGAAAATATCTGCATATATCATGGGTGTGTCAATAGAAGTTTGGCACCCTAGTGGGGCAACCACACTACATCCAGAACAGGTATGCTCTTCACCCAGAACTCAATTCCTATATTGTGGGTAGAACTGTACATGATTAATCATCACTATAGGCCAGCCCAAACCAGATGGCTGAGGTTCCACTACTCGGGGTTGAAATTAAGAGGTCTTGGTCCCTATATCCAACACTGGACTGCAACATTATATATATATACATACGAGTGGATCCCAACCTGTAGCCATAGAGTGATGTGTTCCAAGCCACTGAGAAAATAAGCAACACTGAAGCAGACAAACCTTCTCCTCCACATGAAGAATCCCGGAATGTAACACCGTAGACTCACAATAACAGGATCGTGTATGCCTTACTCAACCTGAGGAAACAGAACCCATCCAGTCTGGAATTATGAACATTCATACTCACTTCCTAACTGTGTGGGTAAGATACATTCCACTTGCCCCCAGAATTATAGGAGGACGTGTAACAACTGTGCTCAATCAAGGACCCAGGATGGGACCACTCTGCATTTGGAATTACAAGGAGACAGTGGACCCTCTCCCATGAACAATGTACTAAATCTATATTGATGAAAAAGAAGGGCTACTCTCCACCTAACCGGATAGCCAAGCTTCAAATATGAACCAGTATTACAAGTAGGATCCCATGTAGGCTGGTGCACTCCTATCAACATCTGGATAAAATATCCAGGGACCCAAGTAGGAGGGCCCCCAACTTCACACTCTTCTCCAAGAGTAGAGGAATTCACTCTAATACTCTGGAAGAAAAGTCTCTGTCCATCACCCCAGTGACTGGAAACCAGGTATGGTAAGGACTCCCTAGCTCCACTTGTAGAATCTGGGGGATAATGTGCATTAGGAAGCCCTGAAGAACAGTACTCTGGAAACAGTGGTATAGGTGAATCAAGTTCCCTAAATTTTTAAACGCAAACTGACCTCAATTTATTCAATCCAAAGATTGGCAGGGATGGCAAGATCCCCTTATACTTTACTTATGATAGTCCGTGAGTGGCATCCATCGTAGAACAGTAATACCACCTGATGAACTCCTAGGTGGACTTAAGGAACACCTCATTTCTACAGAGACTGTAGCAACCTGTATAAAGTATATTGAATTAGTGGTTGCTAGTGTGGAATTGGTTTGATAAAACCACACCTGTCTGGGTAACATGCCACAAAGTGGGATCCTGTGAAAACAAGGTAAGGGACACTGAAAGGTAGAAATAAAAATACTCACCCCTCTGGATAATATAGGAGAAATGATTAAGGTAGGACAGGGGGCAAGTAAAGGCCCTCAGATGAAGAGACTACTATATCAGGCAAATAATGTAAGATAAAGGTATTAGGGGAGGTCCACTTACCAGATCACACAAAGACCTCCAGTGGGCAATTTGACCAGACCACTAAGGACATAGAAAAGTGACAAATCTGATTAGATATGACTCACAAAAGATTCCTCACCTTTAAAAAAGAGCCCAGAATAAAAAGCATTGTCTAGTATCTGTAAAGGTATTACTGCAGACAACCAAACCTTCAAGACCTTCACTGAACATGACTAAGATCAAGATATGATTGGACATAGAAGAGAAAAATAGTGACAGTGTGTTATATTAGAAGAACTGGAGAACTTGTCTGATGATGAGAAAGTGGACAAATAGTGCAAGTCACTCCGACCAGTGATGTCTATAGGTCAGCAAACATGAAAAATAAACCTGCAGGTAAAGGGGATATATAGCATATAAGAGTCAGGACACAAAGAGGTATTGAGAAAGAACAACAGTGTAACCTTAATATACCTGGTAGGTAACTGGAATGGCCATTTGGGACCAAGTACTCAAAGGAACTTGAGGAATCTGGAGAGTACTGGGGACTTAAAAAGTGTATAATGATAATCAAATAGAAGTCGATAAGTCTGCCTCAAACAAGGCAATTCTGGAAAATGCAAAAACCTCTGCCATAGAACCAGGTCAAAAAACGAGTTATGGTTGACACCACTGACTGAAAAATGTTCAACCTCCTCTCTACACACCATTGCTGATATGCATGTCATTACCGTTGATAAGTGTGCCTTTCGGACTTATCCAAAAACTGAGACAGATACATGACAACCTTTGAAACTAAACCCCGTTACAATGTGAAAGACAGCATAACCTCTATGTCAGATGCTTGAGCTTCTGGATAGCTGGGTGTACCATATCAGATCATGGTTGCTTCCACAGAGAGAGCCTAAAAAGAAGTGGAAGAGTTGGACACACCAAAAGGTACTGCAGAAGCATAAACGTGGGTGTAGCAGCCTATCTGGTGGTACCAACAGGATCTGACAAAGGGTTGGAACAAATCATATTTTGTATCTTGGGTAATGTATGAAGTGGAGAGAAGGTTTAGATTTGTAATCCTATCTTGTCCTGACAGAATGCATCTATTTCCAAAGCCCAAAAATGAGTTACTGGAGACCCAATTGCCAGAAGTTGGGTGATCCAATGAGAGGTTAACCCACCAACTAGAGTTGCAAAAAGGAAGCCAATCCAATATAACCTTGAAATGCAACATTTTCTCTGTTGGGAGGATCTCTTGGGAGAAAATTTGACCTACTACCACAGGCATAACCACATGGCAAGCTAGAAGGGTGATAAGAGAGGACTGGTCCCAAGAAAAAAAAAGAGGTCAAAAATCTGAAAACATGGAGCCGTAGACCATGTGTCAGAATGAAGCCTGATGAATTAACCCTTAATAAGCCCAGACAGTGAGGCATTGCCTGTTGAAGAGCAAGAAGGACGAAAGCATTGCATAGGGAATCCTCTTCATCCATGCATAGCCCTGACTGTTGGTACATGCACCCCATCCCCGAAGCAAGGCATTTGTAAAGAAACGGAACTCAGGACAAGGTAGCAGTAGAGGAATCCATATCATAGTAGTGTTCTAACTTAACAACCCCCTCGAGACCAAAGAATGATCCAAACTAAGGAAACTGAGAAAACAGTGAATTGATGTTTATGATCCTTAGCTGCATAAAGATCAATAAAATAATTGCTTGTGTTCTTGTCCCAAAGGCACGAAGGATTTGAGTGGATGTCAATATTCCAAGAAGAAAAAGAACTATCCATGCAAAGGGAGAAGGAGAGGTAAGAGTATGGCATCGTATTCTATAACGTTGAGCAGGATGGAACACAACAGAGTCCGACTGAGAGACGAGATGAAAAATAAAAAAAATTCCCAGACTGATGACATATTGAATTGGAGCAAGAATATATGTCTCAGTCCTGAAAGGGAAGTTTGCTTCGGGTTGATTTAGCTCATCATCAATGAAGTTGGTGTGGTGATCCTGAGAGTCTTCTAACAAAGTGAAGTGAAAATGTTGAATTTTAGAGTGTTACATCCGTAGACTTACTCTGTCCCATCAGGGGATATTGAACTATTCAGGTGAACTACAAATTATGCCTTAGAACCCTAAACTTTGAGGAGCAGATGTATTATTTGAGAAATCACAAAGTTCCTACAACATGTCAGATAAGGCCTAACTGTCCCATTCCATAATTGAGAAGTAAACCTTTCAGCATGAACCATAATATCCATATATGGAGAAAAAAACTAAAAATTCACTCCCAGACATTTCAGCCATCAAGTAAAGTGAAGGTTCAAAAGCACCCGGGAAGAAGCCCAAAACATCACACACCAGAAGAAGCAAGAGAAGAAAAACATATCAAAGGCAGCTTATCCTAAAGTGGCCTCCTTTGCATTTTCCTATAGGTTATTTGAAGACTGTGTTGATTACCACTGATTGGAATAGCATTTTGTAAGGTAAAGTTGTTTTGGTCGAGCAAAGCAATTTTGGGCAATCTGCCACGTACACTCTAGAGAATTGAACAACGGACCCCAGCTCTGCGAGTCTGTAAATGTACCACTATCCCCGAGGCAGACTGAAAATCCAACAGACAAAAAGAAGGCACAGGAAAAAGTGAATCTATAGCCTCTCCAACATTAACTGAATGAAGTGCTTATATACAGTACCAGGATAGAGGACACATTGACATAAGTAGAGTGTATCATGAGATAAATATCACCAAGGGAAAAATGAATGGGGTATAAAAAACTGGAGCAAGGGAAAAAAATATCAGACCAATGCTTGAATGGGCAAAAAAAGAAACCCTCATGGTCGAGTAATAGCTGTAAGTGTAAGAAGAGGTATGTATGTTTTGGAATATGATATCAGTTTTGTATATAGGCAAAATTAGGTAAAAACACAAACAAATTAAAATCACAATGAAAGTTAAAAGTGTTTACAAAATGTTGAATAAAACAAACATATTGCAAACTGATAGTTTGAAAAAAGTATTAAAAAAATATTTTTTTGTAGAGAAAAAAGTACATTTCAAATATGACTGAACCAGTAATCCATAAAAAGAAATTATTAACACTTTTGACTTGTATTCAATGTTTTTGTAGATATAACCTAAAATCCTATTTGCCCTGCTACTAGCAAGAGATGGTTCAACCATAACACCAATATATTTTTCTGAATGTGGTAAAGTTAAAAGGTACCTGAAGTTTGCTGCGGATTTCCACTTTGTCTTTGATGGACAATTTGTTGGATAAGCAGAACATCTCCTTCTTTCACTCCATATCCTTTTAATGGTTGTCTATCATCAAGTAAGGGTCGTCCTTCAAAGGTTACTACTATTTCTGTTGCAGGGACTCCAGACTCATATTCACATAGAGCTTTGAAATTCACTAGTTCCATGTCATCACTTACATCCAAAGTAAAAATGTCATCTCCAAGTGTTGTCACCGTGACCTTCATGCTTTCCAGAATCTGCAAGAAAGGGAAATTTCGTATACCTATTTAAGTACATTTACATACACATAAGGACATCTAGACTGTCCCATCCACTAAAGTTCAGAAATAAAATAACCTAAGCCAGCCCTTATCATTCAAATATTTAACTTCCTTAAATTAACTGCATTCATCATATCTGAAGGAATCCAATCCAAAGGCCAATTACCCTATTAGTAAAATAATGCTGTATTAGCTGAAGATAACCCCTATCCAGCCAAAATTTACTTACGGCCTCTAATCTTACCATTTTCATCATCAAAGTATAAAATAAAAGATGAAAACCCCATAGTACAGAGATCTTAATCTGTCCTCATATAACAACATTTCCTTCCCAGGTATCATCTTATAAGCCCTCATCTGATCCCTCTCCAACAATTCAATGTCCTTCCCAAGATAAGGAAACCAAAACTAAACACAATACTCCAAATATGGCCTAACCAGTAATCTATACAAAGAAATTATAAACTCTTTAGACTTGTATCAATGTTTCTGTATATACAACCTAAAATCCTATTTGCCTTCCCACTAGCAATTGTACACTGCTTGGATGGCTTAAAACTGTTCAATTAGAACACCAAGATCCTTTTCCTTCATAACACTGTTAAGGTTATTCAGATCAAAATTATACTTACAATTCAAATTATGATATCTCAAATGCATTCCCTTGCATTTATTAATGACTATAAAATTTTAAACTCATTAAAAAACTTTGCAAATCACCTCTTATGAGACTCAAAGCTTTTTTCAGTACTGAAGAACTAAGATGCCTATAGGACAATTTTTATCATCCCTTGAAGGGTAATTAGCTTCCAATTCTTTTGCAAAAATAGTAGCAAGTGCCTCAATCCTTAACCACCTTAGGAAAATATTACCTGGCCCAGAAGCCTTATCATTCTTTAAATTTCCCAATGTTTCCTTAACAAACATAGAATTCATTCAATGAGAATCGAAGTATGATGATGAACAGTAGAATGATGGCAGTGACAACAAATATTTGATACGTGTGTGTGTGTGTGTAGAGTAAGAAACATTTAATTCTTGAATGTTTTGCATCTCGATCATCCAATATTGAACTTTTAATTAAAGAAAGTTTATCTACTATAAATGAACTCCCAACTTTAAATAAGGTTCACAACAATTAAGTATGTTCTGAAAATTTATACAATATTGTTACAATTTGTGAATTATCCTATCCTTTATTGTTTATTTGGTTGTCTTTTAATTTACTTCATCCTTTTCTTCTGTATTTTAATTACTTTGTATAGCATGTTTGTACCTAATAATTTACCATGTTCAATAATGAAGATGGAATATGTGTATTTCAAAACGTTAAAGATGTAAATGTTTGCCACATGTCTCAAATGTTAATTGTTGCTGCTGTAATTCTACTCTTCATCAGCAAACACAGAATTGAATGTGATAATCTTGTTTGATCTCCTTTCCACATAGCAACTCTTGAGGATGATGTATACAGCTTAATAAAATTTGAAGAAAAAGAGTAATAGCCCAGCCATCTCATAATCATCAGATATGAGCCTTCCTATATAATCCCTCAAAGGCCCTACTCACATCCTAACATTTTGCTAACTTTTAGTGTATTTAAAAAAATTTTACTATTAATTTTTATATTTTTAGTCAATCTTTTCTCACATGCCCTTTTTCCTGTTTGGCCAATCTCTTGATATTTTATAATCCTCTAAGTCACCTGACATAGCATTCAATTTAAATAACTTTAATTTTTGTTAAATCTATCACTCCTTCAAAATCTATTATCCATTTCTTGATTTTCAAGCATTTCCTTTATATATTATACAGACCATCTTGAATCCTTGTTACAATGTCACATCAAGTGATTTAAAGATTTACTTATGAAAAATGAACTTGAAAACATTATAATAAAAGTCCAAATATGATTGGATAGAGCAAGAATTAGACTATCATGTCATAGTACAGTAAAGGTATGGGTTTAAGAATTTTTTCTTTAGTTACTGTAAATGTTCCTTTCAATTTCCTTTTGTTTATGAATCATGAAAGTATTTAAAACTTATTACATTTTTAACACATTTACAAATGTACAATGTTTGGAAGTTATACTTTTCCTATACTGAAAATGTATTTCCAATAGGTACTTTCCTTCCCTCATACCTATTGCTATGCTTGTTCAGTGCTGCCCTTTGTATGCAAACATTTTTTTGCATGCCACAAGATTTGAGCTGCCCCATGACCAATGTGGTTTAACTGCATCTCACATGTAAACCATCATACAACAGCCCTCCACCAAAAGGAGTGCAACACACCCTCCTGATGCATGTGACTCCCTGTATTCAATTCTCCTGAATTATCACTTCAAGTTTTGGCAGAAATGGAAGCACAAGTTTTCAGTGGGGAGGAAGGGTGGGAAGTGTGATAGGAGGTAAAGTACCTATCGGAAATACTTTTCAGTATAGGAAAATTATAACTTCCAAAGCTATAATCCCACATGAAATAGGTGGAGGAACTGGTGTGAGGGAAAAACGAAGCATCCTTTGAAAGCAATCGAACAAATTCTTACAGTGTCCTATGTGGGACACATGCCATATATGTACCAGGTATAATCTACACCCAATGTGGAGAGAAGGTGGAAAAAGAGAGGTGTACTTTCAAAAGAGAGAGAACAATGTTTGGATAGGCATCCTTTGAAAGCAATCGAACAAATTCTTACAGTGTCCTATGTGGGACACATGCCATATATGTACCAGGTATAATCTACACCCAATGTGGAGAGAAGGTGGAAAAAGAGAGGTGTACTTTCAAAAGAGAGAGAACAATGTTTGGATAGGAATCCAAGCCACATGATATCGAAATCTCAATCCCTTAGGAGACAGCAATGTGGGTGAAAGTAAAAGGATGTGCTCCAAGGTGTAGAGTGGCTATGACATGACAGACCATACATGGAAAATCAACTGCATCCACAACCCAGCCACCGGGAACCAACATCCATGTGGGGGTAAGAAAGAGGAACATACCAGTGGCAAGTCAACTACAACCCAAAAACAAGCCATTGGGTAGGAATAGGAAAGAGGATCATACTTTCTTCACCTCAAGTTTAGCAGACTGGAGGGAGATATCATGCCCAACAATCTATGAACAGAGCACATATCAGCAAATTGACAATAAATTACAGATCCAGGAACCCAACATCCAGACAATCGAAATAATCAAGATGCCCAACCTATTGAGCAACATCTCACTCAAAACCAGTCAGACAGGAACAAATCCCAGTGCAGTATCATCCTTGGTATATGCAAACCTTCAAGGGGTAGTGCAAGAGGAAGAACTGCAGCAACCTACATGTTCATCCACCGTGACCAACAACACGAGGCCAACTGAGTGAGGGAACAGAGACATCTGTAATACATGTGTGTGGTGACTTATGTTGATTGGTCCTGAATCCAATACCCATCCACTGAAACTGACATCCATGTGGAGGTAGGATGAGGGATCCCAATCAAAGGGGTGAACTGCAATTTTGACAGCTCACTTCAAAGTTACAACATTCCCTTGGATAGAACCATTCATAGATGGAGTGTCAGTATGAAGGACATCTCATCATCTACACCAGCAGAACACCATGGTCGTATTCTCAACTGAATGAATTCAATATTTTTTTTATATTGCTATCACATTCAGGAGGATGCCTCCATGGTCCTCCACCAAGTAGCTTGGAACTGAATAGTGGTAAGGGCTCCCATAATCCGCTGGAAGAAAGGGGGGTGGAAATGGCAGTGGAGAGTCCAGAGGAATGTCAACACTGGAGACAGTGCAATGTAAGGAATGGCAGGGATGGGCAGCTATCCCCTTCTGCTTTCACCATGAAGTCCATGGGTTAGTACAGTCCAGAATGGACATATTAATGAAGCAAATATATTCTGAGGAAAACCCTATAAGCAATCTTGTGGAATACCTCATCTCAACAGTGTGCATGTAGTGGCCATGGAAGTTATAATTGTGAAGTCATCATGATCTTACAGTGTGGCTTTGACTAGCTTAAGTATACCTGGACAGGCATCACTCACCAAAGAGTGAGATCGTTAAAGAATAAAAAAAAGGATATGCCCATGAAAAGAAAAGGTTTATATATAAAAAGGTAACTTAACTAGTCATAGTCTCACTATAGAGTGAAGGAGGGTGACAGATGGAAGACAATTTCCTGACGAGGAAGAAATGGCTACCTGAAGTAGATAATGGGAGATATATGTATGAGATGTAGTCCCAGTGCTTGATGGAAGAAGTACCTCCAATGTATGATGGGGGTGAGATGCAGGTAAAAGGTAATGTGCCTGATCAGAGTGAATACCCCAGGAATTAATTATGGGAAGAAGGAGACAAGGAAGAAAAAAACAAAGGGAGGAAGGAAAAAGTCATGAAAAAAGGAGTGGTGCCAGGGAACGAAACTGCAGCAAAAGAAAGAAACAGAAAGAAGTCTTGAAGGCAATTTAGCAACCAAGAACACATACAGGACATAGAATGCCATCCAGATCCAAACAGGAATAACAGTAGAAGATAGATTGTTGTCTGTAGTTAAGTACAAAGCCACTCAATGGGCTATCTGTGCTCTGCCAACCACGTGTATCGAAACCTGGTTTCTAGCATTGTAAATCAGCAGACATACCACTGTGCTGCTGGGGGGCGTAGTAGATGGAATGAAAGGAAAATGATGAAAAGGAAGAACATACCACACAAGTTACCAAAGTTTAGTTTAAGAAAAATCTCCTCCCCATTCCTTATTGTTCTTGGCTTGTCTATCTTTACACGTGTAAAGA